GAGGAGAAGGTGACATGAGTCACCACTGGGTGTCTAGAAATGTCAAGCTGGAGATGGAAACTTTTGGTATTGATGGATAATGTTTCATTTCCTCCTCTCCTCTCTGGTTTCCGGTGAGTGTGAGTTATGGTGGTGGTGGACGTGAGAGTGGCACGGGTTTTTTGAATGGTCTTTATCCATATTTTTCTGATTTTCCCCCGGTTTTCTTCAGCTGTCCCATGTACATAATCAGATAAGCTTTTACAATACCTTTCTCAGTGTTGGCTGAGCGATCTGTGTTTTTTGTCAGGTGGGTTTTTTTTGGAGGAATGGCGTCCTCCGAGACGCCACCTCCATCTATCCGGCAGGCGGTATGCATAGTCCCGCTGGATAGTAATGTCACTGTGGAGGAGGTTCTGCTGGTGGTTGGCGAACAGGTAGGACACGACAATCTGTCTTTTGCATCACAAATGCACAAAGCAGTGGTTGTGTTTGTAGAAGAGGAGGGTCAAGTGCATCAGCTGTTTATCAGGGAGGCATTTGTGCAGGTCTCCCTGCTGTCAATTCCCACCACGTGGATCACCGTATCCGGCGTTTATACCTAATAAGTTGATAGAGAACGAACTCCGTAGATTTGGTAATTTGCTAGTAGATTTAAGATAGTGAGTTTGGGATGTAAGGATCCAAAACTGAAGCTCGTGTAGTCTTTGAGGCGGCAGGTGTTCATGTTCTTGGATTCACCTACTCAAACACTGGAGGTGTCTTTCAGAGTAAAGCATGGTGATGGCTCTTAAATGGTGTATGCCAGTTCAGGACAGTTGAAATGTTTTGAGTTTGGGGATGTGGGACACCCCGGGTGCTGCTGCCGTTGCTGACATCGCTCCTGGTGCCGCTTCGGCGGCGGATGCCGGTGCTGCGAGTGCAGCAGCCAGTGCGGCAGCCAGTGCTTCACATTGTGAGAATAGGTCTGATGACAGGGAGGAACAGAGTCAGCATGAGCAACAGACTTCGGTGGATGCAGAGAACCTTAGCAGCTCTCAGTCTGCAGGCACTGAAATGCAATCACAGTCTGCAAAGGAGGCAGCTTCAACAAGTTCTGCATGTAGTGATAACATTGCCATCAACAATGAAAGAAAAAGTGTGCTCAATAGTCAGGTATCATGTGAAGGTGAAGACATGGAGTATGACTCAGTCAGATGTTGTATCTGTCTGTGGAAGCAACAGGAATGTTGATGATCTCTATTCTTTAATAAGACATCAGTCATTTTCTGGATGTAACATTTAAGAAGTCTTAAAGTGAGTTATTACTTCAGCAACTGACAAGTTCATCAAATCTGTTGATATGTTGAAAAGACTGGTTGGTTTTGACCTCTTGGATGAAAAGAAACGTTTCCGCCTTAAAAAGCATATTGCAACTCTGAGAAAAGCAAAAAAAAAAAAAGGTAAATCTACTAGAAGAGCATGAAAGTAACATGATCATGTACCACACAGTGTTTTCCCCTCTTTATTGTTCGCTGCTTGTTTCATCTTACCTGGTCCTCTTCTCTCACCTTTCTATGCAGAGCTTAAAAATAGGGTCTTTGAATATTAATGGTGGGAGGGACAGGCACAAAAGGGTATTAATTTCTGTAGTTTCTACTCAGAAAAGGGTTGATGTGTTGTTTTTGCAAGAGACACATTCTAGTCCAGCAGATGAGGTAGATTGGGGTTTATCGTGGGAGGGCTCATATACTCTTAGCCATGGCACTAACGTCAATGCAGGGAGCTGTTCTGTTTAGAGCATCTGCAAATGCAACAGTTTTATCTTCTACTGAAGTGGTGAAGGGTCGGGTGTTGATTGTTAGGGCTGAAATAGAGAGTTGTGTGTTCTGTTTTGTTAATGTGTATGCTGAGAAAGAGTGGGTTTTTTTTTTTACCCTGATGAAAAATTAGTTAATTAAATATCATCAGGATCAATTAATTTTTGCTGGGGATTTTAACTGCTACTCTAGATTTTACTATGGACCGGACAGGTGAGGAACCCCACCCACAGTCATCTCAGAGCTCTAAAAGCATCATCACACATTTGGACCTGTTAGACACATGGTGGGTGAAACATCCACAATCCAGTCAGTTCGCCAGGTCCAAGTCCTACTGGCTTTTTTATTAACAAACTCCCCAAGATAGCAATTTCTGTCAGAATTTGGAGCACTTTTGGCAGCAATGGTAATTTTAAAAATAAAAGGGGATTTCGTTTCCTTGAAGCAGTGGTGGGAGGTTGGTAAGGCACAAATTTGTGTTTTTTGTCAGCAGTACACCTCCTATTCCACTGCTAAGAAGAAGGCAGCAGTTCAGGAGCTTGAAGCCAGCATTAGGAGCATTGAGGAAGGGCTACATAGAGACTCGGATCCCACCATGGGTCATCTGCTGCGGGGGAAGAGGTTGGAGTTGAGCTCCTTCCTGCAGGAGCGAGTGAAGGTAGCCCTCGTCAGGTCTCGCTTCCTCCAGTTAAAGGACATGGCCGCCCCAAGTTCGTTCTTTTTCAACCTAGGGAGATTGGTGGCACAGAGGAAGCAGATGACCTGAGTAACCACGAGCCCAGATGAGATGAGGAGACATGCAATGGACTTCTACTCTGACCTCTTCAGGGCAGAACAATGCAGCAAGGACTGTCGTGAGGAGATCCTGGAGGGGCTTCCTCAGCTCAGCCTGGAGTTGACAGTTGCTGTCAACCAGTTGGCATCAGGGCGGGCACCTGGGATCGATGGTCTCTCTGTTGACTTTTTTAAGCAGTTCTGGAATTTTCTCGGATCTGACTTGCATGCTGTTTTGCTGGAGTGTTTTAGAGCAGGATCTCTTCCTGTTTCCTGTCAGCAAACAGTACTTTCCGTGCTGCAGAAAAGAGACTTGGCCTTACTTACGAACTGGAGGCCAGTTACCCTCCTCTGTACAGACTACAAGGTGCTTTCCAGAGCCTTATCGAATAGGCTTAGGGACATCCTGGAAATAATTGTACATTCAGACCAGACATATTGTGTACCTGACGGGACAATCATGGACAACATTTTCCTTATTCGAGATGTCATTGATGTTTGTGGGTCTTATAATAATGTCAATTTTGGTATTCTGTGTTTGGACCAGGAGAAGGCTTTTGATAGGGTGGATCACTCTTACCTGTTTTCTGCATTTAGGGCTTTTGGCATCGGTGATGGGTTTCTGGCTTGGATTGGTTAATTGTATAGCGGTGCTCAATGTATTGTGAAGATGGTGGCAGGGCTGAGTCGGCCAATCCCTGTGCAGCGAGGCAGTCCTATTTCAGGTCAACTTTATAGTTTAGCCGTTGAGCCCTTGCTGGGCAGGTTGAGGGGTCGGCTCAGTGGTCTCTCACTGCCAGGGTCCTCCAATCCTGATCATCCCCCTCATACTGTTTCGGCTTATGCTGGTGACGTTAATATTTTTGTCACAAGCCAGGGGGATGTTCAGTGTTTGCAGGACACCCTGTCCCTGTATGAAAGGGCCTCATCTGCACAGGTGAACTGGGCAAAAAGTGAAGCCTTGTTGGTGGGACAGTGGAGGGATCAGGTGGTGCCCGGTGTGCCTGGAGGACTTGAGTGGGGAAAGGAGGGGTTGAAAGTACTGAGGGTGTTTTTGGGCACTGAGGGTTTTCAGTCAAAGAACTGGGAGGGAGTTAAGGAGAAAGTGTGCGCTCAGTTGTCTAAATTGAAATGGTTGCTACCCCAGTTGTCAAATAGGGGAAGAGTTCTGGTTGCCAATAACTTAGTTGCCTCGGCTCTTTGGCACAGGTTTATCACTTTGACCCCACCAACAAGCCTGGTGGAGGATATTCAGAGAGCCATTGTGGTTTTCTTCCGGTCTGGAAAGCACTGGGTCCGGGCTGCAGCCCTCTATCTGCCTGTGGCTGAAGGGGGTCAGGGACTGATTAACATTCAGTCAAAAATTGCCTCATTTTGACTCGAGACTGCACAAAGACTGCTATACAACTCTGGCCCAGGTTGGCTCGATACAGCCCAGCTGTTGCTGAGGAGAGCTGGGCGTTTGGGCTGTGATAAACAGCTGTTCCTTATACAGCCTGAAGATGTGGATCTTGGTGGACTGACACCTTTTTACAGCTCTGTACTGCAGGCTTGGCAGATTTTCAAGCTAGCACGTGTGGATGAGACTCCAGGCATGTGGCTGTTTGAGGAGCCTTTGCTTTTCAACAGCTTTATAGAGACTCGGACACTGCAGTCTGCCAGCCTGCGAGCTAGCCTCAGAGAAGCTGGTTGCACCAAACTGTATCTTCTGATGAAGATGACAGCAACTTCCATGGACGCCCTGAGAGAGAGGAGTGACATCACCTCCATCAGGCTGTTAAACAAAGTGGTGGAGGAAGTCCGCTCTGCCCTGCCACCATCCCTGAGAGCATTTGCAGAAAACTGGACTCTGTGTGACCAGTGGATGGAAGGAGGTGAATATAGTTTCCCCTCTCTGCTTATCACCCCAGCAGTGGGGGAGTGCCAGGAGGGAGGAGGTAAACTCCTGTCGTTTAAAACCCCTCACTTGGAAACATTCAAGGATGTGGGGAGAAAAGCAGCCTACCACATCTGTGTTAAGGTCCTGAAGCTGCACTCCTTGGCAGGGATGGCGGAGTCGAGGTGGACCGAATCGTTTGGCCCAGACATTTCCCCGAAAGGTAGTTGGCAGTCCAGGTGTACAAGCTGCCCATTGCAAAGCGGACAGCAGACCTCCAGTGGAGGGTTGGAAACGGTGCAATAGCTACGAACAGATACAGAGTGCACCTGAATCCAGAGGTGGGGGAGGAGTGTATGTTTTGTAGTCAGACTACATACATACATTCAGTAGACTATGGACTGTTGGGGGGGTTTCATGCTCTGTGGGGGAGGATGAGGAGCTGTTGGTAAATTTCTGATCAAAGAAACACGTTTTCTGGATTGACGGTCTCTATCTTTGTATTGTAGGTATTGCAATGGTTTAATAAAGGGATTTTAAAAACCTCTCCTCTCCTCTTCTCTCCTCTCCAGTCAGAGCTATCAACAAGGGATTTTCCAGTCCATTGGTTTTAAGGAGTTTCATGACTACCTGACTGCTCCTGAAAGCAGAACCCAGCAGGAGAAACACACACTACGAGACAAAGGTCAGAAAAATACTTGATCAAAGTCTCAGAGATGAATTTAGAGTCACTGGTTGGCCGACTGGTTGACTGATCAACCAGATGAATGTATTTCAAGATTTTCACCTGTCTCCTTTTCATCTATAACAGCCTCCAATTAACTCTGTGCAGGTATAGAAGCTGTGAAGATCGCTACAAAGCGCTACGCCCGCAAACAGAATAAATGGGTCCGTAACCGCTTCCTTAAACGTGAGTACCCTTAACCCACCTCATTCATATTGTGTGTGTGTGTGTGTGTGTGTGTGTGTGTGTGTGTGTGTCTGTGTTCGTTTGTCCTCCACAGTCCAGTTCATTAGCAATCAGCACTCTCTTTAACAAGCTACGATTCATGCACTCCATTAGACACACAATAAGCCTCTCAGACACTGTGTTGTGTTCCAAGGTACAGAGTGTAATGTGTGTGTGTGTGTGTGTGTGCATGCGTGCAGCAGGATTAGGGCGATGTCACTTCCAAAACAATCATGACATCCCTTAATTTTCAGTAAAAGTTTTCAACAAATATAAACGCTCTTCCTCACTTTACCAAGGAGTCATTCATTCTGTACAAAACAAATTACAGCCTCTACAATATATTTTATACTTTTGAACAAATTGTTTGACATTTTGAGAAATAGAATTATTTGTTTTCTTACCAATAGTTGGATGAGAAGATTGATACCACTTATGCTAAGCTAACCACAGGCTAGCTGTTTCCCCTGCCTCCAGTCTTTATTCTAAACTAACTGTCTCCTAGTTGTTGCTTAATATTTAGCATGCTCTTATGATGGTGGTATCGATCTTCTCATCTAACTCTCAGTAAGTGTATTTCCCAAAATATGTAACTATTCCTTCAACAGTTTATTTTTTGTGACAAGAATGTGTGTGTTTAAAAAGGTATCGTGGTTTGAAAACACACCCACGTCAGATAGTGTTGTATATTTCAGGTGTGGACATCTGATTTATTTAGTCACTGGCACGGAATTGGATTTGATTTTATGCAGCCTGCGTGATCTCCTATGACGCTATCGAGGAGATAATGTTTCAAGAGCCATCCCTGGTGTACACCTGCAGCTGACCCTTTTTCCAGTACTAAGTCCCCTGTGGCACCGAATGCATAGAAATGAACTATAGTGGTTGGTTACCTGCCAGAGAGGCTGGCACAGCAGAATAGATAAATATAGCCAGCACAGCCAAAACCAGCTTGTGTTTGGCAGGTGGTGATTTCCCACCCTGGTCGCAACCCGTGGAAGTCAGACGTGTTTTAAATGTATATAAAGGCTCTGTGTGTTTCTCTGTTCCAAATGGAAACCTGGCCTCTCTGTCCCACCAGCAGCATGCCCTGCAGTAACCCAGCCTCCTAATCCTGTTAGGCCCAAGTGGCTTAGGCCACGCCAGGCCCTAAACCTCAATACCCCTCTTTCTGACTGCCTGCCTACCCGCTGCACACACCATATGGTCTTCATCACATGTATGTGTGTGTGTATCTGTGTTACTGCCCTTTTACATATGCAGTAATCTGTCTGAATTTGTCTGTGCTTCTGCGCATGTGTGTTGGGCTGTGTATGTTTCCTCACTCTGCTCAGATATCAGCTGAGTGTTAAAAACTTTCCTGCAAAGTCTGTATTGCCTTTAAATGGGGTATGAAAGTAGGTACTGATGCGCCTTAAAAGTCACCAAAGGTACTGTGGAACTGTCCATGCCAGTTTTTTTTTGTGTTTGCAGGATCTGCAAAAGTTTTAAGGTCTAAAAGGTCAAATCTGATGTTCTGTCAGCCTGGATCTTCTTCTCTGAATTTTGCCAAGTTCCTGACTATTGTCATAATAGGACATTTTAATCACTACCTCAGTTGTAGATATTTGAGAAATGCAGAGTCTTAACAAGAACAACAGCAATCAGGTCAAGAAGCCTGAGCCTCCTACAGCTCTTCAGTTTAACAGAGATCATCTCAATCTCTTGTCTGTGTGTAAACATAGAAAGTCCTCCCCTGAAAATCCCTGTAGCTATTGTAGTCCCTGACTGACAGCAGTCTTGTTCTGTTTGCAGAATCTGCAAGAGTCTCTAGGGTCTTGAAGGGGAACTCTGACATTTGTCAACCAGGATCTTAGTGGGCATTCGCACCAAAAACAGCCCTGCATTTTTAATGATGGCGTTGATGATGACATGTTGCTGCTGGTACCAGTGACACAATTAAATATGGTCCAGGAAGTCCGCTTGCAGTAGTAGATCAATGTGTTTGAAGGCATTTCAGTGTAGATGCCATAACACTGCACAGCGGATTAAGATATCAAGAGGAAGGATTTTAATTCTCTGTTTTCACACTGACAGTCACTTTCTCTTTCATTGTGCAAATCTTTGGAAATACTACATTAATGTTGCAAAGTTATCCACTAGAAATATGCACTTGCACATATTTGATTTGCCAATGCAATGTAATGTAATGTCAGATGATGCTTGCAACAAGGTTTATTCAGTGGACAATGGACTGAATTTGGGCAATATGTACTCAGGCAAGGATGAAGTTGATCGGGCAATGTATTGCAAGCTCTAAAGAGCTTTCCAAAAAGCTTCAGTTTCACTAGAATTAATCTCAACAACATGTCAGATTGTGAGTAAATGAGACTGGAAATTCCTTTGACTACTGTGGTGAATGAAGTAGCAGGGAGTACAACTTTTAGAGATGATTTAAATTTTCTGGAAAGTCGTTCCTTGCCCCAGACAAATGCAGGAATTTCCCTTTGAGTGTTCTCAAACAAAGCTCACCAGTATCATGCTCCCGTATCTATAGATGGTTTTTCAGTGTCAGAGATTCAACATGTATTTGCCTAAAGGATGGGCTTGCCCTTGTATTCACATCTACTCCTGAACCCCATTCGTCCCACCTTTCAGTCCTGCGTCGTCTCCGTTCACCTTCCTCTCTTGCTGTGACTGCTGACCTCTTTTCTGTTTCATCTGAGCCAACACACACACTCACGCAGATGCCAGCAGGCCTCAGCTGAGCAGGCTAATCTCTTGAAGCATTACAGAGCTGCCGGGAATTTGCCCCGACCACACAAACTCGGGCAGCGGGGTCACAGAGGGCTACGCAGACCAAACCAAGCATACACAGACTAGTAGGTCAAAGACGGCGGGTGGAAGGAGTACTGGAAAATTGCATTCACATAAAAGTACTGTTACTGAAAAGAAATTTAATTACATGTGTAAAAATGTACTTGGATCAAAGTACAAAGTAAGTTAATTAAAATGTACTGATTGATATTTCACTGCATATACGCTGTTCCCAGATGAGAGCCAATAAATTCCAGTCAGGCACCTTGCAGCCTGTGCATACAACAGATGATTACAACAGTCCTGCAAAAAAATCCTCCTTTATGATCATGTGCAGTTTGTATTAAAATGGTTTTAGAGAGTTGTTGATTCAGTTGTTGTTTAGTGTGTGGTGATGATGAGCTGCATTACATTATACAGAGAGGTGTTTCTGTTATTTAACCCACTATCATCGGTGTAAATGGGGTGGAGCAATATTAAGCTCCATGAATCAAACAGCTGCCAACTCTTATAGAATAAAACATCCGAAAGGATGGAGATGTATAAACAACATAAACTCCACAGTGGCTGCAGGCGACAAACACAGAAAAAACGCCATGTTGCTAGGCAACACAGTAGTTGGTGATGCTCTCCGCTGTACAGCGAGTTACAGCAGTTAATCATTTGTTGCACACACCTGTCTGAATATCACTCTGAGTCTTCTGCATCGCAGAGTCCTCCACAATCTGCTCCAAACCAATCTTCTCTCCTCATTTGCTCTCAGTGCAAAATCTGACCAGTCCGCTCAGCCTCTCGGGTATCGCTGCACTGCACCACGTTTTCAAACACTGCGCTGAATGAGCTAAAGTCAGAACAGTTATCATCAAAAACAGCAGAAAGATGGTCCACACATCGCTGACGGTAGAGGTGAATGCAGATGTCACAGCTGAAGGATCCACAACATGGCGGGTGTGTGATATGGAACACTTGTCGTGATTGCCGGGTTGTGCATTAATTTATTCCATTAATTAAGGTAGATTCAACCTTTTTGTATCTTTGCCGAGGTAATGCTAATCTTAACCGTGGCCTCATGGTGACTCCATCCTTAATTTTCTTGCACAGTACTATGCATATTGCATCGTTAGACCCAGCACAGGTGCGAACGCACCCGCTGACCCTCGCTCGGTGAATGTAAACATCTAGAACATGTGAGCTGAGAGCGGCTCCTCTCTGGACACAGAGCTCTGCCCTCCAGCAGCCACAGGCCAGGACGCTTCTCTGCTGCAGCTGCTGATTCGGCTCTTTCTATTTGTTGCTGTCTTATAGCTTTAATCATAACCTCCTCATATATGTTTTAACTTTGAAACTGTTTTGACTTTTAAATGTAGTAAAGTAAAATACTTAAATGTAAAAGATAGCTAAGAGTGAAATTACTGAGTTTTAAAAATAGTCCAAAAAGTACAAGTATATATTAAAAAAAACTATTTTGCAGTAGAATTTTAACTTGTTACTTCCACCGCTGGTCACAGAGAAAGATGAATGGAAACAACAGAGAGCTTCATTCAGGGAAGTAGGATAAAAAAGCTAGAAAATGACCTGGATGTTGACTGCGCTTGTAAATACACAGAATGAAGTAAAATTACATGCCTCAAAGGCACAAGTTTGACCCAGTTTTCCAGCTCATAGTTGAAGCATTTAGCAGCGACTGACAGTGAGGGAGCAGGTGGGCGTTTGGTGTCTTAAATACTTTTCAGTAGGTTACGTGGTTGTTGATGGACTCAACTCTGGTTGCTGTGGGGATTGAATCACCAGGTCAGCCAGCTCAAATTAAATCAAGATTAATTTGTCTTGCCTTTAAGTGCGCCTGTATGTGGGTGTATGCTTATAGGACGTGCGCCTGTGTGGTTATAAGGGAATGTTTAATTAGTGGATTTAATTACTCGTAAAGAAAATGTTAATATGAGGTTATATTCATTTTAATAAGTGCCACCTTTTATGCTGAGAATGCCAGTGCCCTCAGAGCTTTTAACTCCCCAAAGACATGCACACGAGCACACGCGCTCTACCTGTAACCGGAATACGCAGGTGTAGTTTGACTGGGGCCTCGTGAGTGTTAAGTAACAGGGGTGTAGGTATCTTTTAGTCCCAAGAGTGAGTGAGTGAAGGATGGAGGGAGGGAGACAGAGGGAGAGAGTGAGAGCGACACATGGGTGGCTGGAGAGTGAACGTAATCTGATCCAGCCGGGGCAACAGGTGTGGGGCGAGTTTACACCCTTGTCTTCTAGCAAGTGCAAAGCTTTCATGTACACACATAGACACACAGATGCCACCTCTTCCCGTGGAGCCGAAGTCAAGTCAGGGTTGTCGTTGCCGCAGAGACCTCCCCGTCACCTCCAGTAGCCCAGGAGGGGAAAGACACGAGAGGGCTGGAGGGAGGACACAGGAGATAAAAACAATAGGTACGTTTCCATCCATGTAATGAGTGGAAATGCCAGAAACTGGAAAAAAAATAAAATAAATCTAATTATTGCAAATAACGGGGTGAGGTGGAAAAGTTGGTGCATTGTCAGAGAGAAGCCAGGCCTCCACTGCAGCAGAAACCCCCCATAAATAAAGAATAACAATTGCAGATGAGCTGTAGGGGTACGCAGCCACAACATCCTCCAGGCAGGGCAGTGCCCACATGTCTCCGATCACCGTAGCTACTCGTAAAAACACCACATAAAAATACATTCACTTAAAAAACACAACTTCTCTCTCAAGTGAAAAGCAGCCATGAGGTATCAGGGCTCCGGCGCTCTATTAATTATGTGACCTTGTTGACACTACGGGCGATATTTTGGATTTTTGAGCTTGCTATTGGTATTAATATTTGAGAGTTAAATGATTTATTTTTTTCAAAACAACGATATGTACTGAGGGGAACGTTTCGCAGTTGAATATAAAAACTTGTCAGCGGTCCCTGGTGGACAAACTGTGTAATGGTTACACGATGTTGACACTGGTGGCCTTTCTGTTTGGCGGTTTCTTGTTAGTTATCGGTTGCTGATACTAAGTTAGCATCAGCTCTGGGGGAAACGCCAGAAATTGTAACAATGCAAAAATATGGCAAATAAGCTTTTTGTCTGGATGGAAAAGCTGACGCATCTAAAAAGAGAAAAATGTTATAGAGGTCGATAGAGACGGATTTTATAGATATACCTTGATGAACACCATTTCATTCTTCCACTTCACCAGACGGGGCAAACATAAGGCGTAAAAGGAGCCACATTGTTTGAGTCCAGACTGAGATCCATTTATTAAAATTTTAGAACATTTTAGGTGGAAAGCAGCAATGACTTGCAGGGATGTTTTAGAGTTACTGGTGCTTGAGTAATTATATAGCCTTGTCGTGTTTTTTTTTTTTTTAATATATCTGAATGAAAATAATGGATGAAATGCAGAGATTTGCGGAGAGAGACTTGCACAAAGTTTTTCAGCAGCAATAGAGGCAGGAAAGCAGAGGAGACACTGGGAAACACCAAAACTTACACAATATTATAATGGAATAAAAAAGAAGAAGCTAACAAGAAGGGAGACAAGTGACAATACAGATAAATGTTAGGGAGATACGGGGCCAAAAAACATTATTTTAAATTCTGCAGTGCCAAATTTTCCAAACTCCTTTGTGGCCATATCTTCAGAAATCTGCTTGACTCCTGGTATTTAACCTGCACTAGAGATGTCCAACATGAACGACAGTTAACGAAGGAGGAAAAAAAAAAAAAGTTTAATGAGGAACTATAGGAAAGAGGAAGGAGGCTGTAGAGTGAGTAGAGGCAGCTGTCGTGTTCCAGTGTGGACCACGTCCAGAGGAGCACAGCTGGGCCGAGGACGCCGCGCTGAGACTGGTAGTTTGAGTTTTTATAGCAAAACGCACACAAGCACACATCCTCACTCAGCAAACATGAGACAGCAAATGACTCGTGGCCCGTTTTTGTTGCAACAGGTGGACTACTGTTTCAACATACACACACGCACGCACGCGCACACACACACACACACACACACACACACACACACACACACACACACACACTTACTCAACACTGGCAAGCAGCTGCCCGGCGACAGGAGATGCTCTTTCTTGTTGGCAAAGCAAGAGACAACACTCACAGTTTGGGTGGTGTGTGTGTGTTCGTGTGTTTGCGTGCGTGCGTGCGTGCGTACGTGCGTGCGTGCGTGCGTGTGTGTGCGCGCTCTTTGTCCCCTCAGCATTTCTTATCAACCCTCATTCACTGCAGAGTGGATTAGCGGAGTCAAATTTCACCAGATCCCAAACAAAAAAACGGTGGAGTGAGGGGCGGTTGGGGGTAGTTTGGTGGTGGTGGTGGGGGTTTCCATCCAGCATCTGGCAACCCAACATACAGTGTCCCCCTTTTATTTACCACCACTCCACTCTGCCCAGTGGGAGGTGGCTGATTGCAAAAGGGAATTGTGTGTGTGGGGGTGTGTTGAGCGAGATAAAGAGAACAAAGTAAGGAGAGAGATAGCGGCAACAGGAGGGCACAGGAGAGCACCTACTCCAACTCTGCATCTGGTATGGGTATGCCAGGTGACGCTCGCCACCACCACCTGCCTGCCTATTGTGCCACAAATACAAAAGACTTCCCCCTCAGACACACAGAGACACGCACCCACACACACACACACACACACACACGGTAACCACAGCAGTGAAACCTGAGGCTTTGATTAACAGTCACTACTGTTTAAAAAAAAAAAAAGGGTTAGGGTTAACCCGGACAAACTGACCTGCTGTATGAGTGTATAAACACACATGCAGGGTAGAGTTTTGGGATTAGCAGCGCACACAGAGAAAAACACACACTGGGAGTTCAAGTTGCGAATAAGGATCTCTGTGTTTATTCTGCTTTCACACCCTCTGACTGTTATTCAGTGAAGCACCGCTGACCTCCACGGCTAATAAATGAAATACATCACGTGTTTAAAAAACGCGGCTGATTGTAAATTAAAAACCAACGTCACGCAAATTTAGACCAGACGAGGAGTTTGAAACGTGGCTGATGCCAAAAAAGCAGGTCAGAAAATTTTAAGTTTACAGCTCGTGGGCGTGGCTCTGTGAAGACTCCCATTGTTCCCACACACTCAGTCCTCTGACAGAGGCAATACTGTTAGCTGTGTAGATGACCAGTCATACAGTTACCACTTTGTGTTCCTCAGTAATAATGGAGTCCCAGTAGAGTCAGTAACTCCAGTCTATAGGGTGTCTGCTGCCCTCAACTCCACAGGTCAGTCTGTGTGTTTAAAGGATTAAGTCATAATTGAGTTGCCTAACTGTGCCTCGCAGGTTAATGGGATTCATTTACCTGAGTGTATTTGCTTAATACATACAGTAGATATTATATGCAAAAACCTGCACCTGAGCAGAGCAGATGCCAGTCGTGTGCTGGTGGTGCGGCTCTGAGGATGGCAGTGTTGGTTTGTTGATATTGCACACACCCATGGTTCCTGTTTGGTACATCCTAATGGCGTTTGGTGATTGCCTGTCTTCTCCTCTAGCGCCACCATGAGGTCGACTACACTGGTTTTGAGTGACATGTCTGAACAGCTATTGGATGGATTCCAGTAAAATTTAATACAATCACGTCCCACGTACGCTAGCACACTAAATTAGGTCGGGAAAGCTGCTAAACATCAGGATGTTGAGGGGAAACTCCGCCGTGTTTACACATTGATAGTCTGTTTATGGTTCTTGAGGAGTATTGCTGCACATAGTTGTCGGCTCCAGGGAGTTTTGTGGCTCAGGAGGGAGCTGTGTGAAATCTAACAAACTGCCTCAAGTCACTTGTCCGAGAGACGAGACTTGTTCGCTAATTCAACGACTTCTCTAAGTTTCTGCATGAAGAGATTTTCCCTCTGCTGCACCATATAAAGATTTTTTTTTAACTTGTCCGTGGGACAAGGATAACATGCAAAATGGGTTTTAAAAACTTTTATGCTAATACATGAGGGGCCCAAACTGAGGCTAAACCTCGCTTAGCTACTAGGCGGTAGTTTATTTTCCAGAAACTATATCCCTTTATTTTTCACTCTTCTTTATTATTTCTATATTTTCTACTCACATTTTTTTGTATCTGAATATAATGCTTAATTTATAACAGCACCATAAATGTAATATTTATGGCAGAAATCTGACATTGTTTGGATACGGTTGCAGCTGTTAGAAGTCGCTTTCTCTATAGGTTCCACACGCCTTTCGTTTCCTGTGCGTCCGTGTGTCTTCAGTCAGCGCAGGGCAGTGGCTCTTGATGCAGACAGGCGCTCAGATAGACGGACAGATACGCAGACAGACTTGCTGTTTAGTGCTGAGGCCTGGCCCGGAGACTGCTGACTGATGCAAAATAGAAACACGGGGGTGGAACAGTTAGATACGGGGAGAGAGGGGGAGAATGGGAGAGTGAGTGAAAGCCGAAGCGAGACTGATGGCGAAAGAGAGGGACAGAGAGAGAGAGAGAGAGAGAGAGAGAGATGGTGAACAAGAGAGAAGGGCGAGAGGAAGGAGGGAGAGACATTATCGAGCCAGTGTGAGTCAGCAGGTTGACAGAGCTTCAGGGTGCAGCTCCAGCACATCACAGCTACTGTAAATTTCCCAGTTTGTACTGGATTCATCCTGAAATCGACCTCAGCTGCAGTCACGCACTTTGAGGCGCAGTTCGTTTCTTCTTAGATATAAAATAATCAGAAACATAATTTGCAAGCCAGTGTATGTTCTCCACCTTGTTAAGCATCAAACACTGATTTCAGCATCAGGCTCTTATCGGTACATTGGTTGTCTATGAGCAATATTGTCACACAACAAAACTTCACAGTGGCGGTAAGATAGTGGTCGAAATGTTGTCAGAGGCTTTTCCACACGTCAATAAAAATAAATGTGGAAACACTGAATCAAAATATCAGCCTTGAAAAGACCTCATTACAATTATTGGCAGCCTGTGATGGCCTCGTAAAAAATGCATAATGTGTGCTAACTGCGTGTGTTTGACCTGCGTGTGCGTGTGCATGCATGTGCGTGCATGTGCGTGTGTGTGTAGGACCTGGAGACAACGTGCCAGCGGTGTACGGCCTGGATGCGACGGACGTGTCGAGGTGGGAGGAGACGGTGCTGAACCCTGCACTGCAGATACTGGACAGTCTCAGTAAGGTGGGGCCTCAATACGACAAACTCGCCGCTTCTTCTCCCTTTTGTTCCTTTCCTCCTTCACTGCCACTCCCTCCTTAATTGCTTATTTCCATTTTGTTGTTTTCTCTCCCATCGCTTTTCTCCTTCCATCACTTTACTCGCCTTGTTCACCGTTACTTGGTTCCTTCCAACGTCCTAATTGGTTCCCTTTCTTGTTTGCTTGATTTCTTCCTTACTTTTTTCATGTCCTTTTCATCCTGTTTTCTACTGTCGACTCTTTCCGTAATTCCTCTCCATCTTACTTTTCCTCCCTTCTCTCATTTGTGCTGTTCTACCTTATCCTACTCTGTTTACTTCTCCTTTCTTCATTCCTTCCTTCTTCCTTAACCTTTTTCTCTTGCTCATTTTCTTCCTTAATTTCATAATTAATTTTCATGTACCTGTTTCCCCCAATTTAACTATACTAGTCTCCCATCTTAATTTTTTATTTTTTTCATTTCCTGCTTCCTTGTTTTCTTTCTTACCTGCTTCCTGCTCCATTGGTGTCATTGAAATTGGTCAAAAACTGTGTCCAAAGTTACTCCATATTTGCTATATAGTGCAATATATTTGTCTGTGCAAATTTTACGCAAAATTCTCATAAAGGAACAAAAAAGTAGTGACCATGGCATGTGCACTGCAATAAAAATCACTGTGGTGTGACAGCACCTGTTGCAACACACCAGTAGTGACACAAAATGATGATGAGTAAGTGTCCAAAATCACTTAACTGTATGTAAGTGTTTATTATGAAGCGAGTAGTAAATGAGTGATTTCCAACACAGCCGAGTATTTTGTTAACACCCTACTAAGTTTAAACTCTTTGGCTCAACCAATCAGGGTGAGGAGCCAAAGATTCCACCGATCAGAGTACAGGAGGCGGGGCAGAAAAACAAACGGAGCCTCCACACGTGCGATCTGTGCGACAAAGTGATCATCGGTGACCTTGAGTGGACAGGTGAGGCTGCTGACCACATAACAAAGAAGTGATTAAATGAGGTTGGAATTCATTTAAACACTTGAACTCTAAAAAATAAATAAATAAAATAAAATATGGTTAGAATGAAATGTTGTTTTGACTGAGCCAGTATGAAAACTGGCAAAACATCAGTGGACAACATCATCCAAAGCATGTCCATGACTCATTTTGGTTCATATGTAGCATCACAGAGCTCAAACTGTGTAAAAAAATATATCCAGGATTCGAACACTGTCTTCTGTTTTTCTTCTCTTCACCTGCAGCTCACCTGAAGTCCAAGAAGCATCACTATCATGTGAGGAAGAAGAGGAAGTCTGATCCGACCTGTGACCAGTGCACCGCCGCAGCTCCTGCCTCTGCAGGGGAGACTCTCTCAAAGGACGCCACTTGTGCTCCTGTTGCCCCGGGCTGCAGTGAAACCTCTCAGGACTCTTCCCAAGACACCAGGACAACACACAAGGAAGTACCGGTGACATTTTAGCGACTGCGCTGACTCTGGCCTACATACATTTATTCAGGTTTCCACCACTGTTCTGCACTAACACAGGACTCTGGACGGTCCTTATAGAATCACAAATGTGTCCACGTGTTTTGTTTTTTTTTTTACTAGGAGGGCCCCGCTGGGAGAGTGTGTGCTCGGGCTATCGTCTACCATAATATTTCAAAAGGATAAAAGCTCTTCCAGCCCTGAAAATTCATAACACGGATCCTTGCTGAATGTGGATAGCAATGAACATATTTGAGACATATTTTTGTTTTTTGTTCGTGGGCTCAGAGTTGATGGTCAGGACGATTCAACGTTTTGGACACAGAAAGATTAAGGATTCTTTTTTGTCTCCTCCTGAAAACCTTGGTTAAATTGTAAGAGGAAATATTATTTTTCTATTTTTGCTGAATGTGCCTTAACTTAACTAAGCGGTGACCTCTCATATGGTTCGCACCAAATGAAAATCTTCCATTTCTAAAATATTAGCATTTCAGGATTAAAGCGTCTGTGCCTCGTGTTAAGCCTAACCATCATGCACTTTTAAACTCATCCAGCTGAATTTGAAAATATTGAATAAACCAGAGGATCTTAAATTTTCTCAA